GTAGTTGTATTGTGTGTAACATTTTGTCTACTTCATTAAAATTATGGTACACAGTTTATTAACTACTGTCACTCTCTAATTCTTTTGTTATGAATTTTTTGTTTTTCATAGAAGAGTGCTCTTGATATTTTCTTAATATTTACATGTATTATCTTAAAATGCAAATAAATACACAGAAGAGAACTTTAAACACACTGCATCTGAACTGGAAAGAGGATTACCTGAGGGATAAGGTGGAGCAGCGCATCCCCTGAGAGAGTCCCAACAGCCAGGCCCACGAAGAGCTGTAGAATGAGACTGTAGTTCTCCTCACAGCTGTGGAAAAGGACGAGAGCGGTCCCAAGCATGGAGCCCAGAGTGAGAAGCATCACAGCTCCTGTGCTGTAGCCATATTCTAAGACAAAGTAGAATACAAAACATCCAGAGCTCCCAGCTGCCTACTCATGAGTCAGCCACTGGCCGTACCACAGTACGTGAGGTGACAGTTGACAGGGATATGGAAGGGCTCAATCCCCAGCATTACCCCAACCCCTTGCAAAGAGTTAAGATGGTAAATTTTATGCTGTATTTAACACAATTTAAGTGAATCGTTGGAATGACCATACACCAATATAGGTTTTATTTCATTCTAGTGTAGTAAAAGTAACCCCCATGTTATCAAATCCTCTCTAGAGATTTTCAACCCAGTTTCACATCCCATTCCTCCCTGGGAACTCTTTGAGGCAATGTCAGTCTTCTTATCTAATACATGAAAGTATTTGAATCTTAACATGGGTACCTAGATGTCTAACAAAATTCAAAATTGTCATATTTTTGGATGCTATAAAAAATCATAAAATGTCAAGAACTCACAAGGACAAATTGGAGTATGATATTTTTCCAGTCAAAGGCAAAGGTTCAAGTTCTATTTTTCTACTTTTCTTCTCTTGGTCCTGCGGTGAGGTACAATATAATGAAGAATGAATGTTTTATTACTTTATAGCTTATAAAATCTGTTTAGGTCCTCTGTGAGTCAGGTTTTGTCTACTTCTGCGCAGGAATGACGGCCTACAAAACCATCAATTCCTGACCTTTGTAGTCAAGGGACTCTGCCTATTTACCCCAAGTCCCTGTAGGTGCCACAGTGTCTTCATTGGAGTTAGATGATTTGCAAATGGGTTCTAAGCATTTCCCATCACTGCAATCAAAGTTGACCTGCCTATTAAACTCTTAGCCATTTCTGAAAAGCAATTTTAAAGAGGGCTACAATTTGATTTCTGTATGGCCATAATCATCTTTCCTGGAAACTCAGTTGAAGGTGGCACTTTGGGGTTGTATTACAGCATATTGAACAACATTCCCTTAACACTGTGCCCTGCATTGGACTCTCTTCAGTGCCACATCTTCTTTCTGTAATCTCCAAAAGCCAATACAAGCCTTTCCTTTTGGTTATATAATGTAAAATTTTAGTCTTGAGAACAGCAATGATTCTTCAGTGTGCATTACTAGTGACTTTTTTCCAAAGAAGAAAAAAAATATTCCCTAGAAATTTCTCAAAGTTTTATTAGAAATGGAATAAAACTCTCTTCATAGTTGTTCAGAAACCTCTTCTCAAGTGGCCTGTATTTCCCAGGCACCAGAGTTGGTAATATAAACATGCTCATGGACACAGCAAGTGCCACAGTTCTGTCCTCAACCATTTGTGGGCATTACTGATCACCAGATGCTGAATTATTTGGCTGATCATGTTTAATAAGTGATTTTTCCCTCCCAATGAATGTGGAGTCTTAAGTATTTACTCTGGCACATTTTTGTTCACATAAAATCTTCCAATGAGCCATTTACTGATATAAAATTCACTATGACTTAGGGGTAAGTAGCTAAGCAATTCATCAAAGATGGCACTGTAGGGAAAGAAAGCATATCTGAAAATATTATGAGGCCTTAAGATTAATGGTAAAATTTTGGGGTTATGTGGGTTAGCTGTCACACTCTTCCTCTATGTATGCCATTAATTTTCTTTTTGGAGAAAGTTTAAATATGCAATGCTTTATATATAAGAACACATGCTTGTAGTTATATTATCATCTGAACCTCACAGGTGCCCTGAAAAGTCTGTGAGACACCTCTTCTACAGTGACTCAGTGGGACACAGGACAGTATCAGTATTGGTCTCTTTACTTCCTGGAGCTGCCAGCCATGCCTGGGGGCTGATACCCTCATCCAAGAGCAACCCAATGTACCTTCATTTTTGTGTGTTTCATGAGGTGTAAGAGGTTGGGAAGCACTATCAGATATCACTGTTTTCCCACCATGCACAGAAAAAAGATGTGAGGAGGTAGCAATTGCTTAAGATCACAGGTTAACTGCACATGAGACAATTCTCAACTCTGCATTCCAGATTCTAATACAAATGCTTTTTCTTTTATGCTATAACCCTTCGCAGCATGGGCTTAGTAATTGGTCCACTCTGAGTCAGCTCTGGGGAACAAATTCAGTTTTTACAACTTACATACAAAATCTAACATAAAGTAGAATAGTGTCATAGCTAAAAATAAGGACTCGGGGACCAGATTGCTAGAGTATGAATTTGAACTTCATAGCTTACTGGTTATGCATTCTTGAGTAACTCATGTAACATTTCTGTACCTTGGTTTGCTCATTGGTAAAATGAGAAATAATACGTGCACCTCTTTGCATCATGGGAGGCTGAGGCGTGTTGGTAAATGAACAATGCTTCTGACAGCACCTTGTACAATGTAGGCATCCTGCTCTCACTAGTTTCATCACTGACTCAGTGGGCATGGGCTTTCTAATGAAGAGGCAGAACTTACTCTCTAGAGTGCTTGGCAGAAGCTTTACTTGTTGGTCCCCGGGCAGCTGGCAGGAGCAGCTGAGGAGCTGTTGGATGATCCCTGGACTTATGTGTTTGAAGTCCTCCTTAGAAATGGGTGAAAGGCTGTTCTGTAAAAATATCTCCCCCAGTTGCCTCGCGGAGAAGCAAGTCTGCATGAAGAAAACACATACTGTTACAAGCCCAGACTGAACTGAGTGTGCCACCGTTGCCAGTCTTGGGAACCCTGAACTGGGCGGAATGACTACCACGGGTATATGGAGCCACTGCTACAGTGCACTTCTTTGCTCCTTTTTGTTAATTAACTTCCAAAGATTATTTTAAGCCTCAGATTAAAGTCTGCAGTACTTTGACTTTATTCTAAATGTTATTCAATATCTCTTGCACTCTTTTTTCTCTGCTGAAGAGACACACTGTATTTTACAACGTGTTGCATGATGTTCTAACAGCCTAAGAGCATCGTGATGTTTTTGTGGTTTTTCAGCAAAGCGAAGACTTCGTACGATAAGCGGGAACTCAGTGGCGATGAGGTCATTGGGCTTAATACTCTCTAATTTAATGAGTCTGTGTTGGCAACACATTTCCTAAAGTAACACAAAGTTAAATTTATCGAAAATTAATGTTAATTTCGCTGGCTGGTGTGTCAACCCTGGATGGTATGGCTCCCTCTGTGAAGTGGCATCCCTTCTCCATGAGAATGAAGGACATCATTGTTATTTTCTACTGACTTTACCTATTTTTATCTGTTTCTATGTTTTTCCACATTACATAGGAATACTTAGAAGAGACAAGACATGTACGTAAATAACGAATGCAGTAAGTCTCTAAAACCCGCTATGTACGCCCATCACAGAAGTAAAAGCTGACATCTCATGCATCAAAGATCACCATGATAAGAACCTGTGGATAGCTTCCATGAAGCCATAGAATAAAACCTCCCATTTAATTTTTTTTGGTAATCTTTAGTTGAAATCAACAAATTATTTTGAGAAAAAAATTTGATTTTTTTTTTGTTGTTGTTTTGCTCCGAATGCCTTCAGGGCAGGTTTGGCTGGCTGGAGTGTTGTGGGGATCGAACTCCAGCAACCTAAGGCTGACAGCTTTGTGGAAGCAGCCACTTAAAGAGCCGAGCGAGGGCCAAGTCCCCAAAAATTTGATTTTTTGAAGAAGAAAAATCTGATATAATTTGGCCTGATGAGCTATGCTGTAGAATATAAGGATTTCCATCAAAAGTACATTGGTAATCAGAAAATAATGACATATTTTCAGATCTCCATTCCCCACCTCAAAGGCTTTGGTGATTATTTCCCAGGAGAGAAATTTTTATTTTGATCAGGAAACACATGGTTACATGGAACAGAAACACTGAAGCAGAAAAGCAAGAGGAGCCTATAATGGAAGAGGTCCTAGGGTCACAGAAGAGACTCGAGGGACCAAATGCAAAGCTGCACCTCAGAAGGAACCGTGAGCTGAAACTGGAAAACCAGAAGCAAAGGTGGTACGCATGTGTCTACTTGTACCCCACGTCTTTTCTCTTTCTTGTTTCTTTCTGTATATAACAATTTCCTTTTGCACTTAAGCCCTCCCATGTGGTGCCCACGTGGCCATAGAAATCCCAGCTCCAGTGACCTTTCACTCAAGGCCTCAGCACTGGCTGAATCTGCAAATCCTGAGAGACGTGATTGGCTCTGCAAAGCCAATCTCTGGATAGCTTCTGCTGAGTCAAGTGTCTGTCTGGTTGAATCAATTCTGCCCATATTGAAGGAGTAAGGAAGACATTTCTCAGAAAGGGAATGGGCAAGAACTCCCTAAGCTTTCTTCTCTGAAAAGCATCAACAGAGAGTTAAATTATGGTAATTTTCCTATTACTAAATGATGTTTGCCAAAGACAACATTCTCTTTGGCTCATTTGCTACTGAAGGAATCCAATTATTTCATTGTTAAAAATATTAATAAGAAGAAAGAAAAACTAATAACAAACTTTTGGTAATGAAGCTTTCATAATAAATACTCCTATTAGAGAATGCTCAACTAGCAAATAAAAGACTGGAAAGATAAACAGGAATAGAATGCTATGTATCTTTCTCCAGTTCACTGTGGAGAAATTGAATAGTGTCCTGTTTTAGAAATCCATCTCCTAAAGGAAGGCTGTTCTATTCTAAGCTTTTATGTCCTTGATCTTTGCTTTCTGTATCCGTCTTTTTTCAAATTTCTTCTGAAGTCACTAACACAAATATCTTAATGGTAATTCATTATGTTCAATGAATTTTAACACAAAGCGTTTTTCACAAAAAAAAGAATAAAATGAAAATTTAGGTGATCTCCTGAATAGCTTTTTAAACATCTTTACTCTTCTACAGTAAACATTAATATATGTTTACACTTGAGCTGATTTTGTCAGACTTCTATGGATATTTTCAGATGTATTCTACATTTCTAACTGTTATTCTTTAGTTTAAACACACTTGGAGGGCTTATTCAAGACAACATATAAGACTTAGGATGTGGATCAGTGGTAGAGCACTTGCTCACCATGCATAAGGCCCTTGATTCATCCCAAAGTACTTCAAAATAGTACTAATTAATTCTAATACTAATACCATTAATAACATAAAATAAAAGAGTGCTGGGCTCCATTCCCAGCATTCCTGATTTGTTAGATTCTTGGATGGGGTGTGAGAATTTGCATTCCTAGCAAGTTCTCAGCTAATATTGTTTTGGCCCCGAAATAAGATGTGGAGTAGCATTGATTTAAGTAATACAGGCAGGGTCTCCAGATCTAGTATCTCATATTAGGATCCCAAAATGAGGCACAAAGAAAATCACATGATGGAAGAGTGGAGAATAATTATGGAAGAGGTTTTGTTTAATTTCCACAGTCAGCAAAGACTGTAAGTATGAGATTCATGCTTTGTCAGGTATAGTGGTGGGTGTTTACAATCCTAGTACTCTGGGTGACTAAGATGGAAGGATTTCAAGTTTCAGCCCAGCCTGAACAATTTACAGACTTAAAGAGACTCTGTCTCAAAATAAGAAATAAAAAAGGCCTTGGGTGAAATCCACTAACATTAACACACACACACACACACACACACACACACACACACACACACCATGCCATAAGTAAATAATGCCTAAAAATATTTTAAAATTTTTATCTTTTTTGCAAGCAGTGTTTCCATAGGCAAATTTAATCCCTTTCTGAGATTTATCACTGAAGAAACATTAGAGAAGGTTTCCCAAAGCTTAATTTGGAGGGCTGGGGATATAGCTCAGTGACATAAGTGCCTGCCTGGCAAGCACAAGGTCTTGAGTCTGATCCCTGGTACCAAAAGATAAAAAAAGAAAGTACACAAAACTTAATTTGGAAGTGAACTAGTGGCTTTCAGCTATAGGCAATGAGCATCCATTTACACTAATCTACTGAGATATATTCTGTACATAGCAAAGGAAAGATAATTTGATTTCTAAAATTATATAATAGCAATGATAGGTGATGTTGCCTGATCATGCCTGATTCATAATTTGTGGGCATATCATTCATTATCATTAGGAATATGTGAGTGCTTTCTCTGTTTCAAGGTACAGATTGTGTTCTGTAGGTGTATTCCTTGTCAAAGATACAAACAACAAAAATGTAATTAATTTTAATCCATGATTCCCCAAATTAACATAGTTTTAAAGAATACAAAGTGCACTATCAAATAACATGCATGTATAGATCCTCAGTTCCTGTGAATTTAAGAAGTAGCTCTATATATAACTTATATGATGCAGTCATACAAACTAACTTGATATAGTGGTTTTGATAAGTCATAAGATAATATGTAGGTTAAATAATACAATGCTTATCATGTAGTAAGTATTCAATAAATGTAAGTATCATAAAACATTAATTTCTGAGGATTTAAATGAACAGGGAAGGGAAGGATTCTATGATCAAAGTTTGAGAAATAATGGGTTCAATAAGACTTTAAAAATCTCTTTACTAGTCTGTTTGTTTGTTTTGTGGTAATAAAGACTGAACAAAGGGCCTTAGACACACGAGGTAAGCAATGTGCCACTGCACCGCACCCCAGCATAAAAATCTGTTTACCAGTAAGACTTTTCCTTCAAGCTTCTTACTACGCTACAGGGAAGTGTCCATCTCTATTTTTTACCCAAATGATCTGATCATAGCACATTTTTACAAAAAGCAAAGAGGTAAAATAGGGAATGCGGTTTGGGACAAAATTTTAGGAAATTCCTACTCTGATTATGTTCATATGCTTACAGATTACTTTTCTCTGAAATTTTTGCAGTGCCCTCTACCATGCAAACATTTTTCTGTTGCTCACAGGCCAAAGTAATCACCTCCTGACCTAACCTAAATGTAAAATGTTCATTCATCATTCTGATTATTCATGTAATGTCAGTATCTTTCACTGCCTTGTAAGGCCCATAAGTGCTGGATCTATTTTTGCTCAACACTATATTCCTCATGCCCAGGTTGGGAACTGATACATACTAAGTGATCATAATGTTTCATAAATTTATTTGTGCATTTAATATGGACTGAAGGGAGTTCAGAGAAATATGTCATTCTTCTAAATACCTTGGCTGAAATATCTTGGTTTTTTATGTCTACAGAGATTCACTTATAGAAAATGGAAGCCCTGAATTATCATAGAAATTATGATAGAATATTTGTTTGCATTTTATACAACTCTGGTAAAGCCTTCTCAACTGGTCTTCTTTCAACGATAACAAATGATGGTATAAGATGAATCATAGAAATACCTGATCCCAGGACACTGAACCATCATCTGACTCTTGGTCCATAGACATAGAAAGGTTAGTGTAGTCCCAAGCATGGACCCCTATGTTGCCTTGTTTCCTTTCGGGTCGATGGTTTTCATCTTTTTTGTTACAGGTGCTTTTGGCCCAAATAATATTGAGGAGTTGGTCCAGTTCTAGAAATTTCATATAAAATCTAGTGTCACATAGAATAGACAAGTTCAGAATAATCACAATTTTACATACCCGCAACACAGATTTTTTACAAGATAATGAAAAGCCAAAGTTTCAGCGTGAACAAAGCTGAACTAGTTTTTATAAAGGGATTCTCACCAAACCTTATTATGGTGGGAATAAAGATAACAAACTGGCCAACCACCAATTTGAATGCTTTCCACTGAAACAAGAATGTTCCTGGTCTATAAAAATGTAAATTAAAGAAGAAACTGTCCTAATCTTATCAAATTAATTCCCTTGAGGCATTCAGCATCTTTAGTAAGTTGACTATTATCTAAATAATGGATCAAATTGTTTTCCTATGAAGTATAAATGAGTAAAAGAGAAGATAAATGAAAGTGAACTAAGATTATAGAGACAAATTAGGTCTTGCTTTCTAATGTTGCTTTAATGATGAAATAGCCATAAATTTATAGACTGAAATGTAACTCTAGACTTTTGAAAACTGATTAATGCATGAAAGGCTTAAATGTCATAGTGAATTTCTATGGGTTTATCCATTTTCCTACCTGTGCATAAAATGTGTTTGGAACTTTCCTAGACACTATCATTATTGATAGGAAATATTACAAAATATATGATTTTGCTTTAAGTGATCAGATTTCAACAAAAAATGTATGACTCACATAAAACTGGGAAAATTTGACCCATATTCAGGGAAAAGAAGTTCCAAAACATTACATCTCTTAATATTCCCAGATGTTGGATTTAATATAGCTGTCTTCAAAGCAACTATACCAGTATTTCTAAAGGACTAAAAGAAATAATGTTTAAAGAATTAAAGGAAAGCATATCAATAATAAATCAATTAATAGCAATATGAAATCAAATGAGAAATTATATAAAATTTCCAATGGATATAAGTTGGAGAAAATACTGGAATAAAAAATATCACTAGAGACATTCAACAACATGTTTGATCAGGCAAAATGAAATCACTGAACATTAAGATGGATGAACAGAAATAATCCATCCTGAAAAATAAAGAGAAGAACCAGGACCAGTGGAAGATGGTGATGACAATATCATCTCAGAGACCTGTGGGCCAACAAATATATATGCATTGACAAAAACAGGAAGCAGAAACAAAATCATAAAAAATGGAGACTATAATGGCTAGAAATTATCCAAGTCCGATATAAATTCTTTATCATCATGTTCAAGAAGCTCACCACACTATTTAGTAGAATAAATATAAAAAAAGATTCATATACAGAAGATACATTATTGTGAAATTGTGAAAGTCAAAGACAAAGAAGAAATCTTGAAAGGAAAAGGAAGGAAATTACTCATCATATGTAGGAAACCATGACTATAGTTAATAGCTGACATCAAAAACAAAAATCAGAAGGAAATGGAATAGGATATTCAAAGAGGAAAGAAAGAAAGAAAGAAAGAAAGAAAGAAAGAAAGAAAGAAAGAAAGAAAGAAAGAAAGAAGGAAGGAAGGAAGGAAGGAAGGAAGGAAGGAAGGAAGGAAGGAAGGAAGGAAGGAAGAAAAGTTGTCACTCAGGAATTTTACACTTAGCAAAAACAATCCTTTGCAATGAAGGTGGAGAAAAGATCAAAGGAGAGAATTCAGTGCTAACAGACCTACTTTACAAAAATTAGAAAAAGAAGTTCTTTAGCCTGAAAAAGTAACCCAAGTTGGGGAAACTTTTGCATTTTGGCCAGTCCACTGGAAACAATAAAGAAAACTGGCAATGTCAGAAATTATTGACCTGAGTCCCCCATAGCTCAACTTAACAGCATGGCTTTATTTCTTAGATTTCGTTTTGATAGTTTTCTACTGGATGGTTAAGACCAAGGTAAAGCAGGACCTATGCAACAAGAGTTGTAGCTTTTTGGTCTGAGAAGGTCAGTGAAATTCTGACATTGCCAGTTAAACAGAAGACCCAATGCTATTATGGGCTACTGGACTCTTTTAGAATATTTTGCTGAGTTTACACACCTATAATATTCAATAACGGAACTTAGAAAAAATGGGGTATACCGATGAATGTCCATTTTGTATCTGTGTATTCAAAGAGGTTGGGATAGATATATAGTTGCATTCTCTTAATGAATAGAATGATTTGTTCTAATGGTGTCTGTAAATAGGATCACAAGTCCGCATCTTGTACAGCAATTAACCACTAAGAAGATTATATGCAGTGTATTATTTGTTGAAACTGTACTTCCGATATGATTTGAAACTGTCTCATTGCTATCTGTTTATCAATAAAACTTTGAAAAAAAAAAGAAAACTGGCAATATAAGAATGTAGCTTAATGTAAAAGACTGCAAACGTAATTTTGTTTGTTTGTCCTCTAAACTTAATTTTAAAAAGACTGCGGGCTTTTCTTTCAAAGTCAGAAACCTAGCAACTGAGCACCAATTCCTACCACTACTTAACATTATATTGAGATTGTTAACCAATGCAAGTATATGAGAAAGCAAATATAGTTAAAAAATTGGAAAGAAAAAGGCAAGAGTACATTGACTTGGAGACGATGTATCCTAATATGTACTGTTTCCAAGTAATTTTATAATTTCTTTTTTCAATTTTTTTTCTTCAATTTTTCTTTTTATTTTTTATCACAATAAAACTACCACAGGTTTCTCATGGAGCTTGGCAGGTGGATGATGGTCAAGTAAGACAAGCAAGTTAAGAAAATTTTGAAATGGAGACACATTTGGAATCCTAGCTCAAACAGACATGGCAGTGTTACAAAGCTATTATAAGTGAAACAGTATGACATTGGCTTGTGAACAGACAAGATGTCAAGTAGAATAGAATAGAAAACCCATAGAAACTCAATGTTTAGAAATGTTTTGTAGTACATGAAAGTAGCATCTCAAGCCAGTGGAAGAAATAATGTATTTTAAGTTAAAATATAAATAAAATTGGGTAGTCAAAAGGAAAAAATAAACTGGATCTATTCCTGGTAACACATATCACAAGTAATTCTAATTAGATCAGAAATGTAAAGTTACAAGTATCAAAAGAAAATATGGATGGATTTTTTCATTATCTGAGAATATATGAAGTTTTCTTTCTTTTTTAAAATAATTTTGGGGCCGGGGAGATGGCTCAGTGGAATAAGCGCTTCCCTGGCAAGTGCACGGATCTGAGTTCAATCCCCGGTTCCACAAAAAAATAAAATAAAATAAAATAATTTTATTGAGAAACAGATAGCAATGAGACAGTTTCAAAACAGATTACTAGCATGGTTTCAATAATTAATACATTGCATATTGTTGTCTTAGTGGTTATTCATTGTACAAGATGCAGACATGATATCCTGTCCACAGACACTATTAGAACAAATCTCTCTATTCACTGAATTAAGAGAATGCAGTTGTATATCTATCCTAACTATTTTAAATATACAGATACCAAATGGTCCTTTCTTTGTATCCCCATTTTTTGTTTACTTTTGTCAGAGAAGGGTATTCCATTTGTCAAAGAAGGGTATTCCATTGTGAAGTTTTCTTAACTGAAATTCAAAATAGGGTAAACAATAGGGTAAACTTTAATTAATTTAATTGTATAAAAATAAAACATATTTGCATAAATGATTGATTCCAGGTCTAGGCAGAAATGTACAGGATATATCTAGAATATCATGTTATTCTGGAAGATAAGAAATATATAAAATATTTTAAGGAACTTAAAATATTCAGCTTGTCAGAAGACAGCTCAGGTGGCCTTTCAAGGATGCCATGCTAGTACATGCACAGCATGTCAGAAGGACTTAAAGCCAACTTAAATAAGATCCTATTTATCAAACAGGGATGAATCTAAGAACAATTACTACAATAATGATATTAAATTGAGAGATATAAAAATCATATTTTTTAAAATTATCATTATTTTCTTTTGCAAGATGCAAGGGAATTTGTTCTACCTTGAAAACTGGGAAAACATTAAGAATTTATAGTTATTTTCTTTAGGAACCTCGGTAAAATGAAATAATGATCAAAGTTCTTCCACTGTAGAATTCATACACCAAAAATATAAAAAAGCAAGACTGAGAGAAATAGAAGATCATCATTTATAATCTCTAAATAATAAATCAGTCTAGGCAATGATCAATATCTTACAACTTCTCAAAAGGAGCGGGGGAGGGAGGGAGAGAGGGAAAGAGAGAGAGAGAGGAAAAGAGGGGAAGAGACACAACAAACAGTAGATGGGGTGAGAGAAAGAGAGAGAGATCCAAATGTCATGTTTTTCCTGGTGGAAGTTGCTCACTATATATAGTACTCACAAAAATAAGCTGAAAAATAATCAAGCCTCTACCTATGCTAATCAATATACACAATATGCATGCAATGCAGGGCATGGAAACACACATTAGCTAATTAGGAATGCAGCAAAATAGACAACAAGGAAAAACCAATAAAAGAAACCTAACAATCATATCAGCAAGTTGCACTTGATAAATCCTATTTGGATTCTTATCCAATAAATAATAAATTTTTAAAGTAAGGAAAATGTGAACATCAGGCAATTTTGCAGTATTCAGAAATCATTTTTTAGATACGATATTTCTATGAGATGCTTTTTAAAACTCTATCTCTAGCCATTTTAATGCAGGCTAGAAAAACAAGTCTTGTAATCCTCAAGTGGTTTATCTTATCAAGTTCAAAGAACGGTCCAAAATACACTTTCTGATTCCCTTCCTAACATCTCATTTCATTTCAGAGCTCTCAAGAGAATGGGTCAGAAATGCAGCAATGGTAAATAATTCACATTTTACTTTTACTGACCCACAAGCAAACTGCTACTGACCCTCTTGAACTAACTGAACACTATTTTTTTTATTCTACACAGTGTGGTACAATCTCTGGCCAAGCAGGATGTACCAAAGGGGAAGTGTCGAGCTGGTCCTCACGGGACAAGTTCATGTCATGCCTCATCAGTACCTGCTTGTCCTAGCACGGCATCCTTGAAAGGCCACCTGAGCTGTCTTCTGACAAGCTGAGATTAAGATGATGTATAAAACATATCTGAGAAAATTCAGTCATCAAAAGAACTCAACCCCTTTTTGGGGCACAATTTATTTGGTAGATATGATTTGGAAGATAAATTCATTTTTAAAAATCCTTACCTGATAGGTGGAGAGTATTTGTACTATTCAAGAAGTGGAAAATATATTCAGTAAAATAGTCCGGGGAAGGCAAGTTTCTTCGTCCCAAACAAACCCCTTGGAGGGATAGAGCAATGATGCTCGCGGCCAACCGAGGAAGGGTGTTTTCATCAGCACCGTCACTGCTCAGGATTCCAGATTTCTTCTGCAGCACTTTAGTTTCCATACACTGAAGTCAGACACAAAGTCAAGAGGAAATGTTAGCTTCGAAGTGATTTCTCATAAGAGGTAGCTCTGATTTTCAAGTTCATCTCAAAGAAGCTTGAGTTGTTTATAGGAAGGACTGTAATCATCTCTTGCCTCAGATGAGAAATATTTGGAAGATACTCCTTTTATTTGCCATGGCACTGAGTTTTCTAACTCCCAATACAACTATTCTTCAGTCAGCCAGCTTTTTCATTATTATTTGTACATTTTTCCGAGAGGATCTTCTGCTCTGTTTACACCATTCAATTAGTGAACTCTCTCCCAGCTTCAAGGACCGCCTGCAGACCAAGGATCTTCAATGTGCATTCCCTGGTCCTGACTTCTTCTCTCTCTGCTGCTTTATAGCATCACAGAGCTCTTCCACTTCCTCACTGCCCTTTCCTCTCAAGTTCAACGTGCTGCCACCATCAATCAGAGCTAGCACCGTTCCTATGTTTTCTGTCTTCTACAGGACGGATGTACAACAGGGTGCCTTTTTCACTTGTGGATGTCAATTTCCTCCATTCAGTTGTAAGCATCTAAGAGGCTAGAATTTCGCCTTACACCTTTCTGCTATTCATTTATTTAAACATTTACTGAATCTCTATTCATTACGCAAAGCCTACTACCTATGAAATGGAGACCAGGTGCATCAAAAGAGGAATTGAGGGAAACTTATTATGTCAATATTCAGTGCTTGTGACATAAGACAAACAATAAAGAGCAGTTATTTGGAACAGAATTGGGCAAGGGGTGAAGAAAAGTATAGGGGCAATGTGACTGAAAGTGACCAAGTTGTGTTATATAACCTACCAAGTCTCCAAAACAAACATCACTGCTTTATATTAAAAATATGCACTAATAACCTTTTAAAATACCCAAGGGATTTTAATTCTATAATTGGCAAGGTAGCCAGGAGCACATCCATAGCTGATGTGGGAAGCAAAGTATAAAACTGAGGAGTAGGTTCCAAAATTTTTATAAATATGGAGAAGTAGTAAGAAGTTCTATGAGTAAAAATAACAAATTGAATTATCATAGAGTATGAATCCAATAGTAGTGCATTTTTCGTGGAGGTTGTGAAAGAGTACCAGTCACAAGTTGCTATTGAGGATAAAGGAGAATTCCAAGCACTGTTTGTAACCTTGAAATTGCTAGGGTGTAGTAAGTAATTCTCATCTTCCCTGCAAGAGGCACACCTAGTGGGACCTTTGGACGGCTCCCTGTTCCATTGCCAGGGAAACAGCAATCAGTAGGATGAATCAAAGAGGGGAGAATATTCAGATTCAGGAAGATGAAGCTAAGACCAGCTGATACACAAGAGAATGAAGCATTAGAGTGATGCTTAAAGGCTGGGTTTCTGGGGAATGGGTACTGTGGAATAAAACTATTTTCCTTCAGTGGCTGAAATGGTGGTTAGAGACTTGACTCATGGAAGCTAAATCCCATGCAGATCAAAACCTAGAAATGCAAGTGCTGGGCCTAGTGTGTGGCACCTGCCACAAACTTCTCTAGAAAGTCGGCATTGACTGGCTTCCTAGGAAGACCCGGTGAGCAGGCTCTTCCCAGGAGCAATGGACAGCTGTATCTGTAGATCAGTGTGATGGACCTAGCAAAGGCTTACAAAAACAGGAGGTCAATTCCTACTGAGTAAATAGAGGAATAAGTCAGTTCTCCTGTATGTATTTAAATAAATAATTAACAGTGAAAGGTCAGCCTTTTCTAGAATAGTAATGATGTTAACACAAGACCAAGTGCCCATTTCCTAGGAGAACTAGGAGAGATGAGAGACATTTGAATGGGTTTTGTGCACACACAAACATTTGATCTCATAAACATTTACATAAAAACAAAATAATAAAAGTGAGACATGAATATTAGCAGTACCTTTAGGACAGCCAGAAATCTGACATAAATACACCATCTGCTTTTAAATGCTGGGCCCCTGTGTCCATTTAATCTGAATCAAAGATGTAATGGGGAAGATGACCAAAATTCTAGTGGCTCATTCCAACCGGTCTTGTGTTACATAGATGCTGACAGAAGGCAGCAAAAACTAAATTCTGTCAAAGAAATGTTTCCTGAAATGAATGTAGATGAAAAGCTGGGGTCAAACTTTGATCTTTGTGAGATTAGTTACTAGCGTGATGTTCTTGAAGTGCTGGGTAAGTATCTTTTCTGCCAGCAACAAGAGAAAATATGCATATTTATGGTGAATTGGAGAATATATTCGCTGGTTATTAAAGCAGAGCATGACGTTAGCTCCTAGAAGCTACAATTGAGACCAAGAACCAAGTTTCTAGAGCCAGCCAAATAGCTCAGTGGATTAAGCATCTGCAAGCAGGTGCAGGAGCAGGGAGTTTGATCCCCAGGCCTACTGTGCTGGCCCTACCCCCAGGGTGCACTAAGATAACAATTGAGACTGGGCACAGTGGAGCTTGCCTGTAATTCCAGTTCTTAGGAGGCTGTAAACAGGCGGAATACTATGAGTCCAATCTAGTAGTGAGACCATGAACACCCTGTAGACCCTTCCCTAAAATACAGAAGAAAAAAAAAAGAACTGAGTTTGTGCATATCAATGAGTAGGGTTTTTTTTAATTTTATTTATTTATTTGTGTGTGTGTGTGTGTGTGTGTGTGTGTGTGTGTGGCCAGCTCAGCCCACCAGGGGGCGGGGCTGGCTGGCATGTGGTGCTGGGGGATTGAACCGTGGTTCCTGTGCTTTGCTAAGCTTGTTCTAAGTAGGTGCTTTAGACCATTGAGCCATCTCACCAGCCCCAATGAGTAGTTTAAGAGAGAAAAAAGTCAGTTTTAATCATACTACTCAAATATACGGGGTAGTTGGAACAGGTTGTGGTGACACACACCTGTAATCTCAGCACTTAGGAGTTTGAGACAGAAAGATCACTGTGAGTTCTGAGACTAACCTAGGGGCTATAAGAGTGAGTACAATCTCAGCCTGAACTGCATAGTAAGACCCTATCTTAAAAAAAAAAAAAGTGGGGTAGCTCTTAAATTTTCTTGAGTATGTGACTTAAATAAACTTTCTGCTTAGAGAACTTTATTTGCTAAAATTTCCTATTGCAACTCAGAAAGGAAAAGCATTGCTGATGCCTGTGTGTGAATGAAGACATGGATTATATCCCTGGCATTAAACAAATAAATAGCATCATGAAAGGTTCAGCTTTTTCTAGAATAGTAATGATGCCAACAGAAGACCAAGTGTCCCATTCCTAGGAGTGAGAACTGGGAAAGGTAAGAGGCATTCAAATGGGTTTTCTACATACAACAAAGCACAAATCAAAAGCCACAGCAAAGATATTTTCTTGAGCTGGCTATGATGAATAATGCTTTTTTAATAAGCTGCTTCTTCGGCTCAATAACTAAAGATATATTCATACACTGACCTCCACACTAGAGTTCAGTCCTTGGACATTGACCAAAAAGCCTTGAGTCACTCTGGCTCAAGTGCTCATGAGAACTCAGGAGGAGAGAGCTGCCCTGCCACCCGGCTGGCCTACCCACCCACCCACCCAGCTTCTGGCTAAGACTCATCTTCCAATTAGTCATTACATTTCCACTTTTGGACTCAGAATTTAAGATTATGTCATTTATCATGTCATAGTTGAAAATCATAAATACTTGTCTTTCTTGAAGCTCTTAAATGTCTCTGGAATAAGTAAGTGACCAAAAAAAAAATCAGACCTGGGCATTGTAACTCAGTAGCAGAACCAGTTTTCAGTTGTGCCCTTCTTACCTGGCTCCTGGCAGTGTCAAAGTACTGCCTGGTGAAGGCCAAGATATCTTCTGTCTCATTCTGTGAAAGGAAGTAGGAGTCTTCATCCTGCCGGAGGCTCAATAGGCTGTGTAGGTAATATTTATATTCTTTATTACTCATGTTGAGCTTTGAAGAACAGATTTCTTCCTGATGAATAATGTAATAGAGGAGGAGCAGGGAGACTCTCTGGATGACCTCTTCTTGCAGCCGCTCTTCAAAATCTCCCCCAGCAATTAGTAACAGTGCATCTGGTTCGAAACACTATGGGGAGGAAAGTGGAAAAAAAAAAAAAAAAAGAAGCACCATTTAAGAAATAGCACCAGAATACTTACAAGTCAGGGTCCCGAGTGATTTCTTTATGAGGAGATGAGGAAAGTAATGAGATCCAATAGCTAAATATAGATGAATGAACGTGATTACCCCCTGTGCACATACTTTCAGAACTGGGGATCGAACCTAGGGTTCTCACAGTGAGCTATAGTGCCAGGTTTTTCTCATTTTTCATTTTGATACAGGGTCCTTCTAAGTTGCTAAATTCCCCAGGCTGGGCTGGAACTTACAATTTTCCTATCTCCGTCTCCCAGATGGCTGGTATGAAGGCAGGTCTACCATGGCCAGCTGATTTTATGTAACAGTGATGCGCTCTTAGGGAACCAGTTTTCTAAGAGTGATTCCTCTGTCCCCAACTCTGTTTGTCACAAGTTGTTCATATTTCACTTTCAACAACTGATAAGACCAGCCAAAGCCTTGGCTGTTAAAATGAAACCCCATTAAGCATAGAATAAAGTCCAGATTCCCTGCCATTTTCTCCTTGGTCTGGTTGCTGTGCGCCCTACCTCCCCTATCTTAGCTTCGCCCTCTGCTACCATTGCACTAAACTTCTGCCCCTGCGATTTTCTGGCAGCTGCACCAAGCTCTTCCCACTACCTTTCAGGCCTGCTTATTCCCCTGATTTCTCAGATCACAGTTCAAAATGCTTCCTCCTTCAGGAAACCTTCCCCAGACCTCTCATCTCTGTCCCCCCAGCACATTATCCAAACGAACCACAACGCAAGCTGCCTACATCTTTGGAATTTTCTAGCAGCCACATTTTAAAAAGAAGAAGGAAACAGGTGAAATTAATTTTAATAATTTTGTATAGAAATTCATTTATCTAAGATATCTTTTAGTATATAATCAAGTTTTTAAAAATTATTTGCACATACTCTTTTTGTTTGATGAGTCTTCCAGAGCCACTGCATGCTTTATACTTAAGTGCCTGTAAACACTGATGAGCCACATTTTAGGGGCCCCATAGCCACGTAGAGCTGAACCCACCACATTGGGCAGCACACTCCAGAGCATCATCATATGATCCTCTTTATAGCACTATCATTGTAAAATCACTTTGCATCTTTATTTTCTCTATTTTTCATGAGAACAGTAGTCCACAAAGACCAGCTGTTGTCTGCTTTGCACAGCATATTTTCAGCAGATAGTAGACTATCTCACACTAAGAAGTATAAAGATTCAATGGAGGAGAGCCAGGCTCCCCTCTTCCATCTTAGCTAAGTGAGTTCTGAAGCTACTTCCATTGAAAGTCATCAGAACATATGCCCCAATCTAGCACTTTGGCCTTTGGTTGTTTTGCGCTCAAGGTAAATGAAAAGTATTAGATATGAAAATTCTCTACCTTTCATCTTTTTCCTAAATTTCTCCTAATAAAGATGTTTTCCCTGTACCAAGAAAAGGAGAACATTCTCTTTTTAAAAAATCTTTTATGTGTGTATTTATTTGGTACAGGGTCTTGCTATGTGGCCTGGACTCAGCAATCCTCCTGTCTCAGCTTCCCCAGCACTGGGATTACAGGCATGTGCCACCATGTCTGGTTTCAGTGGCCCACATGACACAGCATGGCATTTGGTACGGAGGATCAAACCCATGCCCTTGCGCTTGCTAGGCAGGTGCTTAGACTGCCGAGCTATCAAGGAGGACATTCTTATTCCCAGAGTCCACATGGATCTCAATATGTACAACCAAACTACAAAAAAAAAAGTCATACACATGCATCGACATCACTCATATATTCCCCAGTCACTTCCCCTACAATTGACCACCACTTTGCCACAGCCCCTTTTTTCTCTGTTCCTTTCACATCTCTAGAACGTACTGCTCTTTGTTAAAATGGTATAGAATTTCCTGGGTCTAATTACTTCTTCAAAGTTTTCACTTCTTTCGTGAGGTGTCCAATGTCACATAAACATTTTAACCACAAATAAAACTTGTGCTCTTTTCTTCCTGTTCATTTGCCTTTGGTCAGTTAAGTTCACAAGCCCAAGTCATAGACCTTAAGAGAGTAAAAAAGGAAAGACTTTTTTCTCCTACACTTTGATACTTTATTCCACAATCCACAGGTAAATATGGTTCCTCTAATCTCAGGTGTCCACCTGGTATAAAGTGTTTGAGTTAGCGTTTTGGGACGCAGAGAAAAACTGGACACAAGAGCTTGGGATGGGCAGCTATCTCAGCAAGAGAAGAGTAGCTCTCGGCAGGTCAGCTGGGAGATCCTGAGGATTCTCCAGAGTCTGAGAAGCAGCTTCATTATGCAACAATGCTGCCCTCAGCTTTAAGCATTGAGGAATGCCTGCCATGAGCCTGAGGGAGAGATCTGCCCCACTGTGTGGACAATCTACTAAGATTTTGGTGGGGGGTTTTTTGTTTTGTTTTTTATGTTTTTTGTTTTTGTTTTTGTTTTTGTTTTTGCATCAGTTCTTCTGTGAAGTGGAATTAGAAAGGTTCTAACTCCATGTCTGCTGGTAAACCTCTGATACAAACCATTTGCCTCAGGAAAAAGCAAATTTCATCCATCACCAAAGCAAAGCATAATGACATCATTCCCAAAGCTACACAAATTCTAATCCCTTCTCAATTCAATTGTAAGGGAGTCAAAAATTTACAGGAGAGATGCAGGGTTTACAACAAGGCCAGCTTTTAATGTGGGAATTTAGTTCCACCTCTGAAGCCATAGATGCCCTTTTCTGTCCCCCAAGTAGCCCCCAACAGAAAGACCATGCATTGGTTTATTGAGCTGATGCCAAGATTCAAAGTGGTGACTCATTTGGCACAAAAGTATAGTAAAACCAAATAGCCTCTGATACCAAATCTTTGGTAGTTGTTAGCCACTATTTAATGGCCAATATTATACAAAACACTATGTATTCAGGTATTCTTTAGAACACAATCTGATTGGTTTTGGAACATGTTTAGCTTTATGAATTTTTGATTGTGGAAACTATCTCATTATATTAAATGGAAAAATAAAATATTCTCAGCTCATATAATAATCCACCAAATATTTTCACAGAGCATTTAGAATATTCATTATACAATTATTTAATGAATGAATGGGTATATCTGTACACAATATATAAAGATAATAAGCAGAATAAAATGAGAATTTCCTTCAATGAAAAACCCTATACCTGTAATATAGGTGAAAACCAAGTTTAAATGAGGGTCAGTAATTTGTCTAGGCCACATAACTAATTGTAGTTAGTTGTGCCAGGCTTATGTCTGTTCTTCTAATGACAGGCCTTATTCTCTAATCCATTCTTCTGTGCCACGGAGGCATAAATTGTAGCCTTTGCATGTATTTAAGGTACAGCCCCTCTAATCATTCATATTCTCTCCTTTCTTTTGGGTAGGAGGAGAAGTCAGTTAGGAGGCAAGAGGATCAGTCAATTTCTAATTATCTGTCAGAATTAGAACACAATAATAGAGATTTGGATGAATCTATGTTCATGTACATTCAAGCACTACTTGGGTTTTTGTGAAGCTGGGTCAGTAGGAAGAAGATTAACTGAAGCACAAGAAGAGGATGTTCTTAAGGCCACTAGACCATACATTTGTAGCCAGGGCTTGGCCAATAAGCACCTCTCATCCCACTTGAGGTGTCTAAGACTCCTGTCTGTTCATGTTCCCTCTAATGGTTTTTGTTGTACACATTTTCCAGGTTTAGAATGGGGTGTGTGTATATCTTAAGGGACAACTGAGAAAAGTATACACATTATAATTGTACAGATAAGTGTCCTGGAATTGGTTTGTACCAAATATACACTATGAAGGTAACACTGATTTCTGGTAAGTTTAATCTGTTATGGCAACTTCTTCTTTTACCTGATTGGGAATTTCAGTCATCTTAAATGAAGAGGTATCATCTAGCTATTGGTTTGATTTTTTAAGCCTGCTGAAACAAGACATAGCCAGGAAACAAATGACTCTGAGCTGAAAAGTTTGTTTCCTTTTATATTTGAAATCTAGAGAAGCTACTTTAACAGGGAAGACAATAGCATGGGGAAAGAATGCTACAGGAAAATATCAGAAGAGCTAAATAAGAAAATACAAATCCCTCCCCTGGGTAAATCTATGACAGAAAATAAACTCAGTGGGGACTGGTGGCAAGGAGGGGGAGGAGGGTTTTCAACTCATCACTGCCACCTTTGGCTTTGTTGTTGAAATGTTCAGCAGTTGGTGGAACTGTGTTTAGGGGAAGAACGTTTAACACAATTTTCCAAATACCACCATCCCTTAGGCATCAAGATCTGTCCAAGCTGCTGACTCCTGTGAGATGATTCTTTGTTAAAGAATAATGAACTCATTCAAAAATAATCCATTGATTTTCCTTTAAATCTTGTCAGGTGGAAGTATAAGACTTAAAGGGAAAATGAACTAGGAATAAGTGTTCAATAACTCACAAGGAAATGAACTTCAGTCAAATATTAAACTTGAAGCTGGCCTTCTTTACCAGCTTTAAATGGGCTGTCCACACACCTGGTGGTAACTGGTCTATCACGCCTGAAAACCAAATAGGATCACCTCACTCAGGCACATAGCTCCACATTTGCTTATTGCTCATACAGTAAGAGCTCCAAAGACCAAAAAATGACCTGATAGTGTTTTTTCTCTACATCTGTAAGACAGGTGTCAGAGAAGGGTAAACTGGAAAGGTTTTATCCCCAAAGATGTTTAACATTTGATTTTGGCCCATGGGTAAACCTACTGTCTTCTTTCAGGTTCTTAGATTTTTATAAGGTCTTTTCCATTGAGGGGGTCTTTTTTCATAGATAACAATTGACTATAAATAAATAAGTTACTTATATTGATTCCATTTCTTGGCAAGCACAGCAGGAAGGATGTTGGCTGATAGCAGAGACTGATTCTTACTGGGTCCCTAGGAGATTTAATAGATATTCTGACAAAAAGAAGTCTTTACAAAGTTAAGATTTTAAAAAATAAACTTGCTAAATACAGAAGATAAAGCTTGACATTTTCTACATTTTATCCATGAAAATTAAGATAAATGAGAGGGCTGGGTAGAATGAATGGAGAACATTCCAACAGTGATTCTTCTACATAAATGTGCCTGAGAATTTGCTTTGAGAACGGAGTCAAAACCCTGGACATCTAAAATAGTTGAGAAGGGAGTTAGAGTGCTGGTGTTATGGGAATCCTTAAAAATATCACTGTTCCTGTGTGCCTAGGGAAGGGAGCCTCAGATGTCACTGAGGTACAGAGAGTGTGAGGGAACTTCATCCCCATGTCCAAGCTACTGGCGCTACATCCGTGGGATCCCCACAGAGATATCTACCCGACAATAGGCTCATCACCTCAGTCCTATTGAGGTAAGATACAAGAAATAAAGATATGTAAAAAGGCAACAAAGAAATTCAAGTTTTCATCTTCCTTATTAACTTAAAGCTCTGGATAAAACCTCTGTTTAGCTCTGCACAGAGGGATAATAATCATTTAAGAAAAGTTGGCAAAACAAAGTGTATTAATCCTAGATTTTCTTGGTCACTTCACTTCCTTCAAGACTGAGGAAATCACCTAACATATAGCTCAGCAGTTCAACCCCAAATACCACACACAAATAAAAGCCCTGTGGAAACCAAGATATGAATAACTAGAAGAATGTCCAGGGTTCCCAGGGACACCCAGTTGCCACCTTGTACAGTGTCCAATTCTAGACATCTCTGGAGCAATACCTAGATGTCTATAAACCAACAAGCATCTCAAGTTTCCAGAAAAGCAAAGCCTTGCTGCCCCACTAGGATGGGAGCACCTCCCCAAGCAGGAGTAATTACTCCATGACAGAAACTGACACAGACCCCTCCCAAGCAAGGATAGTCCTCTCTTGGGAACCAAGTGGCCTCTCAAGCAATAAGGATTTCTCAAGAGGTAGAAATCAGACTGAGAAAAAGAGCAACCAAACCCTGGCCCACCTCAGCTAACCCTTCCGAGCTTGTGCTTTTGTGAGCAGGCCATTTTGAACCTCCTCACCTAAGTGAGCTTCTCCCAGTGCTCAAGCTGGAGTCCTCTTCCAATTTTCTCTTACTTCTAACTCTGCTTAAGAAACCTGTCTGCGCCTCACACTGAAGTATACTAAAATTCCTTTTATATGAAGTGAATCAGGAACCTACTTGGAAGGCCAAGTAGAACTTTTCATCTCCTCTGTGGAGGATTTCCTTAGACACTATCCCATGTCATCCATAGAAGTGGAAACCAAGGTTCAGCAAATCCTGATAACTAGAAGTTTCCAGAACAGGGCATTTTGCGCTTCAGAAACCTGTGCAAGACCATGGTTCTCATCTTTATGGAAGTGTTTACTCTATTGGAGATCCTTCAGATCTCATTCCATTGAAATTCTAATTCTTCTCAAAGAAGAGAAGGAGAAAAGTCAATATCATCCAAGAAATATCCATTTTTAAAGGCTGCAGCTAGAGTGGATTCATTTCCAGTGTTCACAGATACTTCACATTGATTTTTTTCAAATTCTATTTTTTTACCTATATCTGAAATTGGAGCATTATTTCTTCTTTCTTTTCTTTTCTTTTCTTTTCTTTTCTTTCTTTCTTTCTTTCTTTCTTTCTTTCTGCTTCCTTTTTCCTTCCTTTCTTCTTCTTCTTCTTCTTCTTCTTCTTCTTCTTCTTCTTCTTCTTCTTCTTCTTCTTCTTCTCTTCCTCCTCCTCCTCCTCCTCTTCCTCCTCCTCCTTCTCCTCCTCCTTCTCCTCCTCAAATGCAAGATACCAATTTCCCGGGTTTGTTTTAGAAATATAAAAACATTGCTTTTCCTTCTGTTTATACCACAGAATTTCTCTCATGAACCATACCTGTCAGCAAGATCCCTGAAAGAAAACAAGAGACTCAACAACCGAATGTCTTTTGGTTTGGAGCAGAACTTGAGCTCTTGTGCAATTGGACCTCTGTGAATGGAAACCCTTCCTGGGTCCCTCATTAGTAGGGACATTCAGATGACCTGAGGCCCTTGAGCAGGGGAGGCTGAGATTCACTTTTGTTTTACCTTAGCTTCTTTCAGAGAGAAAGAGCTGCAGAAAGAGAGCAAAACTATCACACTGACTATTTCATGGCCTGGGAATGGAAATAATTCAAATGTAAGCCAGACTGGCCAAACCCTCCATTGTGTCATAGAAAACAATAAATGCAAAACAATCTCTTCCTCCCAGCCCCAAATATGGAGAATATTTTTGATTGTTTACATTCCCCCTAGCAAAACTAATACTCAAACAGCCTTAATAAGGCACTTCATGTCATTAAAACAGAACATTGCCCTGAAGCAAGTTCTCAGAGGACATTAATAAGATATGGCTCCTGGTTATTTCCAGTGGGATATCTTCTGTTGCTATCTAGCTAAATTAATGTCATAACAGACGAGTTGCCTATTATAACACATTTCCTCTGGGAATCATTGGACATTTCAATAATTATTGAATTATTTATGGCTTACACAGAGCAAAGAAAAATTCCATGAAAAAGACCCCTCTGGTACAAAATAAATAAATACTTAACAGAGCAATACTTGGGCCATGTGCTTCCAAACCTATCCCTTGAACTACACATGACTGAGAAAATCTGCTAAAATTTATATGAGGAAGCAGTTACCTGCATCTGATGAACTTATTTCTGTTTTTACTTATCTGTGTTTTTCTAGGATTTACCTGAAAAACATCTCATCAGTCAGGAATGGGTGGTGCAGAGCGATCCTTTGGTTGAATTTTCTTTGTGTCCTTTTAAGACATGGGCTTTCCCTTTGTTTGCTGCTTTTATTTAAACCCCCTACCATACCACCAACTCCAATTGCCGTGATGGGTACATTCTCAGCCCTCGTTCACTTTTTACTAATGTGACCCAGGGAGACTTAAAAATTCCATCCCAGACAAGTCAAGTCTCACTCTGAGCGGATGAAGCCCTAGTTGTAAATGTTCTGTGAAACTTGCCCAACTGACAGAAGCCGGCTGTGGAGCAGGCCTCACAAAGCCACAGAGGGGTCCAGCGTCAGCTCTACCTACAGCGCTGCTCGCTGGCTGCTAATATTTCTCATCATTAAGAAGATTATTCAATCATTTACTACTTATTATGCAAAATAGTAGAAAAATCAACTGATATATAGGAGAAAATTTCAACCTCTGAATAAGAGACAAATACAGGTTGCAATGATTATGCTACAAAGACAGCACCTATGCCATCCTATGCACATTTGCTGTAGGAGGCAGGGAGGGAGAAAAAGACAGGGAGGGACAAAAGGAGGGAGGGAAGAAGCAAAGCAAAATTTGTACTTGTAAGTAAGCACTGCATCTCTACACATGCACAACGTTTCTAGAAAGCTAAAGTGTTAAAACAGAATGTTCCTGTCCTTGAGCACTATCTGCTGAAAAGTTTGTTAGACCCCAAACATGGAAGTTATTTTTATCACATTGCACTGCCTACTTGTTTGCTGAAGTAAGTGGCCCCAGAATCCATCGCTCTTCTGAACATGCCCCTACACCTGAGCCCATCCCACATCACTAACCAGGCGACAGTCTCCTCGCATCCTGTGTGTCCGCGGGCACCCAGTCTTCTCCAGCAATGCTTTGATGAGGTTCCTGGAGTGGTTGAGAGGCGCGTGATCACCAGCAGTGAGAACTCGTAGTATTTCTCCCAGTTGCCCTGGATTCCCAGGGCTGCTGCTGTCCTGGGTTGAAGGTTTGTCTGTCTCCGTACAGGAGACAAGACTGAGCAGAAAGAACAAAGGCATGCCATGTACTAAGAGCTTGGTCCACAGGTACATTTCCACTCTTCCTTTACCTTGATTCTGTATTGGACAGGGATGAGTGGGTGGCTGTTAATGGGATAAACTTGTAAGCAGAGGCATTTCTGTGATAAAGGGGAAAAAAAAATAAAGGCTTCAATTATTGTGCCTAAACATTTGAAAGGACTCATTAATTTGGTGGCTAAGCTGATTTGGAATGACAAGCTGTTCCTAAACCTCAGGGGGTCTGTAGGTGATTTATAACCCCAAACAGCAGCAGCAAAATACCGATGGCTGTAGACTTGCAAGTTGACAAACAGTTAGACACTGTTAAATTGCTTCTGTCGGAAGTAACCAGAGACAAACATCAGGAAGAGGAAGTGTCGCCCTTTATCTACAGGGAGTAGCAAAACAGGTCCTGGGCTGGATCAGCTTCATCCCATCCCAAGGTAAAGAACTCCCCTAGATTTCTGTTCCTCACCATTAAATTAAGCAAATACAAACAAAGAGCAAACAAATGTGAAGAAATTACCACTGTAATTGTAAGTAAAAATGCCTTGGGCAAGGAAAAGTACTAGAAGAAAATGGTTATATTCAGTAGAAGTTGATTTGTCTTTTTCCTTTAGTAATAAGATTCTGGAGAAGGAATTATCCTAGAAAAGTAAGAGGATTTCAAGACCTCATGAGCCTCCATAAACATGTTCAGTCCACTGTCACTAGAAAGAGCTGGAGATTTCTTTTGAATCAGTCAAGTTTTAGAGGAAAAAAGAAAGATTTCAGTTGCCTAAAGGGGGGAGAGAGACAGAGAGACAGAGAGACAGAGAGAGACAGAGAGACAGAGAGACAGAGAGACAGAGAAAGAGACAGAGAGAATAAACAGATAAAGTTTAAGATTCTTAGGCTAGCATTTAAAACCTGACAGAAGTTTACACAAAGATTTTTAAACACAAGTCTTACCTTAAAAAAGATAGATTTTTTTATCTGGAGCCCTGCAGCTTTTTAAGTCTCAGAGAGTATTCTGTGGTTTCAAAGTCCTCTGTTTTTAAAATTCCTTGACCGTACTCGGGAGCTGGAGGGGATTATTTCAACCCAGAGCCATTTGAAGTTGCTATGGAGAGCTGCTCTGAAGATAACAATGAAGGAGGATAAAAGTGGGAACTTTCTATTTCACAGATTTTCAGAATACTCAACTTAATGTGGTTAATGAATTTGTCTTTTTACATCAATGTTTAAACAATTTTTTAAAAAATGATTTACAGTCTTTTCAGGAAAAGGAATATTGTGGGACTGTCCTGCTTCAAGGTTGTATATGGTTCTTGCTAAGTTACCCAGGCTGAGCTCGAACTTTGGAGTTTCCTGCTTTAGCCTCCTAAAGTGGCAAGTTTTAGCTTTACGGGCTCCTGTCTGAGGAAGCTGTCTTCAGACTACAGGGACCATTATGTAACTCTGCATGTTTCTACAAGCTTCTAGCAGCAAATTATATAAACAGTGGACACTGGGTAGTTATAGGATGGACCGGGGGAGTAACTCTGTAAGAGCAAATAAACATACAACACCCTACTGTGGAGAGCCCAAGCTAATACATCAGATGCACTGGCCCTTGGGTGAGAAGTGAGCCAATGATCCCTTTCATGAGACAGAATGGGCACAGCAGCACTGGATGGGCAGAGGCCCAAAGGCATGATCAAGTGAGCAGGCCATGTTTTTGTTCATTTCTGTTTGAAGCAATCAAAAGTCAGACTCAGAGAACTGCAGCTCATGGGGGCTGCCTGTGAAGCTCTCTGCCAGGATCCAATGGAACAGGACTGAGAAGAGGGAGTGATGAGGCGACAGCAACTTCTAAGGAGCATTTTCATGACACCTAAGCAGGATGTATTTTCTGACATCCTACTGAAGAACCCACAGAAGCTGGAAGGCCCCTGGCCCTGCATGGGCTCCTACAGTGTGCAGCCAAGGCCTGTGCTGTACCTCATGCTACTCCTGCCCAGAGTCAGTGTCTCTCCCTTCAAGTGTTCTGCAGCATGAGAAGAACGAAATGTCACCACTATACCCTATTCTGTGAGCTTCTGGGGATCTAGACCATCTGCATAGTTTCTATGCTGTTAACTGTAGAAAACAGTCTTTTCTGAAATGCTGTATCTCCCATTCTCCCACATGGCCTACAATACCCATTAAGATTAATATCTTTGTCGCTTTCTTTGTCTAACAAAAGTTTGGAAATTTCCTAGTGTTTATTATAAATCATGAAACATCTCCATCTTTGCTAGATTTCGTGTAGAAAAATACTTGAAATTTAAAATATAAAAATCAGAAAACTTTTCTAAAAGGATTTTTCCCTCAGGACAAAGTAGTAAAAACTAGCCTGTAACTTTACTCTTAACAGATATTGTCAAATTTGGCAGGAAAATAATGACCATCAAGAAATAAATAGCTATAATACAAAAAAAAAGTGATTTACAGTCTCTTGCCTTTCCAGGGACAGTCTGGGTCCAAAAATACAACCTCTTATTGAAGAATGCGATGTCTTTAGTATTCCATCAAGATTTCATCTTTCCAGCTGATTCTGAGATAACCATTTCATCCTGACTTAAGCCTAGGATTTGTTGAAAAGATACACTCTTTAGAAACATTGATTTCACAGGTGTAGAAACTCAAAAGAGGGGCTGGGGAGATAGCTCAGTAGAATAAGTGCTTGCCTGGAAAGCTCAAGGGCCTGAGTTGAATCTCCCATTCTGCCAAAAAAAAAAAAAAAAAAAAGAAACTCAAAAGATTTAAAGTATTTGAGAATGGAAGTTTTCAAACCAGGCATAGTGACACCTACCTATAATCACAATACTCTGGGAGGCTGAGGCAGGAGGATATCAAGTTCATGCCCACCCTGAGATTCTTAGCAACTTAACAAGACCCTATTTCAGAATTTTAAGAAGTGAAGATGGCTGGGAATGTCCCCATGAGGGCCCTGGGTTTAATCCTTCATATCAAAAAGGAAAAAAGAGGAGGAGGAGGAGGGGGGGGGGGAAAAGAAGACATTTTCAAGAAAAAATATTTGTTGGACACCCACAGTTCTCATTTGAGAAGCAAGTAGATGAAAACAGGGTACTTTAATTAGCTACACAGGTCATGATCCCCACAGCCTGTGACAGACTTTATTAAATTGGAGTCTTCAGATCCTGCAAAACACAGCCTCTCAATATATTAGTGATCAAACAACTTAAGGAACAAAGTGATAAAATTAATAGGTGTCAAGAGAAATTAAAATTTCAGATCTTAACGTAGACAGAGAGCATGAAAACAGCATAGAGTTCATGAAACCGAGAGTGACTTCAAAGGCTGAAGACAATGGACAGAAACTGTTGAATTCAAAAGCGTGTGTGTGTGTGTGTGTGTGTGTGTGTGTGTGTGTGTGCAGGAGACAAATGCTGTTAATGCAGAGGCCAGGAAAATTAGGAAAGACAAAAATTGAGAATAGGTCTGGCCAGATAGCTCAGTGTACTAAAGCACCTACTTAGACAGAGGATGGCGGCCAGGGTTTGATCCCCAATGTGCTGTGCTGGCCCCAACCCTGGGGCACGCTGAGATGGTGATTGAGACTGGGTGTGGTGGTATGCACCTGTAATCCCAGTGCTTGGGAGGCTGAAGACAGGAGAATCACTATGAGTCAGATCTAAGTAGGGAGACCCTGTAGGTCCTGTAGACCTTGTACTAAATATAAAATAAAAGAGATAGTTTGTCTCATCAGTCAATAATTGAATATAAAAATTGAGATCAGGGTGGGATGATATTCAAGGAATGCTATTATTACTGCCAGACATACATACTCCTTCCAAGTGCCAGGCTTTATCTTTCTTCCTCTGTCATGGAGCACTCTAACTGCCAAGGGAAGGACGTGGCCTTCATTTTGCTAGTTCTATGTAAGATTAACTAGAGGCAGAGTCTGGAATGACCAGAAAGAGAAGAAAGAGCAGAGGTCAAAGGTAAGATCTTTCTGTTGAGGGCCCAACAGAGACAGGGCAGAAGGAAATGGGTTGAGGCAGGAAGAGGTGGGCTGAGGCAAATGACATTGGACCAAAGCTTCCTGCAGGCTCACACTAGTACACTTGCTGCTCCTACAGTGGAGTGTGTGAGTGTCACAGATCAACATGTCCCCACCCTAGTCTCAAGAACTTGGTTAAAAAGTTCTTATGGAAAAGTAGCCCAATGTCTGTTCCAGAATCGGCTGCTCCTACCTGACAGCACCAATGCTCCTGCTCTGCGCTCATGTTTGTAATTATCTCTCACCTCCTGGTCAGCTGAGCGGATCCTCAATGCCGCTCAGGCCCCACTGTTTATAGCCAGCCTACTTCATGACAAGGTCTGAGTTTGCTCTGACCAGTGGTCCCAGGAGAGCAGCCCTGCTGGGACACTGACCTGCTTCCTGCTTCCTCCATCCACTGTTCAGCTGGAAGTCACACATGCTCTCAGATTCTCGGACTCAGGGTTGTAGCTGAAGCCTTTCATGTTCAACCTGTTTCCCCAGGAGGCCTAAAATAAACCTGTTTGAAATGTGTTTATGTTTTCAACCCAAAACAACTTCCAGGGGTAATGAGTGTCATATTGTAACTGTATAAGGAAAGAGCTACTTTAGCTTTGATTGACAGTTGTAAAGTCCTTAACCCAAACATGGAACCAGTACTTCCCAAAGTGAAAGCATCTTCTTCATACTACCACTTCATACTTCTTCATACTCCATACTATCTTCTACTACTACCACCCATACTACTGGGTGCTGAAGAAGATGAGTTCTCTTCTTCAGCACCCAGCCAAGGCAGTGTGGGGTCATAAAAGAGGTCCCACAACTACAAGCTACTTCTAGTTTCTGCCTGTCTCCATATCCCATTCGCACCACAAAGGTGATAACCTCTCTAATCATTGAAGTGCAATGGCATTGAGTGTCTTTCATGCTTTGACACTACGCTGAATGAGTCCATATTTTACCACAAATATCAGTTAAGCCTAGTGAAATCCTCAAAACACTTAGGGTCCCCTAGGTAGTAGGTGCC